AAGATTCGGGTCTTCTACAGATTTGGATAGACTTGGAGTATATTGGAGTGCTGTGGTCTGTGGTGTGGTATGGTATCGCCGGTATCGCTGTAGCTTTGGAATGAGCCTGGCAGCCTCCTTTCACTTCGCTAACCATCCCCAGCCATCCCCAGAGCAGCGAGCAGAATCTGCAGGCGCTTCACCAGCGCATTGTCTCCAAGGGCTGGCAGTTGTCGCACATGCGCTTTGTCCATGCGCGACAGCTTCAAGCAGCTGGGAAGGCAGGAGATGGCAGGAGCTTATTCCACTATAATTATAAGCTGATACATGCTGACTCATGCTGATACAACTGTGCAGCTTAAAATTGCAATTCTTCCATTGGTCAGCAGAATCGCCATGGTGCACTTTCATATACTTTCCATACGCATCATAAGGTAGCGGTAATAGCAAGCTTTCATTGCGATGGGTGATCCAGAAGCAGCACGTGTTTTTTTTCAAGCTTGTTTTGGCTCGCTGATGGTTTTTGCTGATTGTTTCGCCGTGGTAGCATTGTTGGAATCCCCCCTTCGCACATCAAAAACTAGGATTGAAACAGCCCGCAGAGTCAGCGAAGTGTCAAATTGATGCGGTGCCGTTTTGAAGGTGAACCTTGCCATCCCAATCTACCACGAGTTGCAGGCTACACTAGGCCCTTTGCAAAGCCTCGATGGATTGGGTATAGCTTTTCCCAGCCTCGTCGTCAATTTCTCGATCCGATACGCTTGTGCCGCTCCTGTGTAGTCTACAGAACTGATTGAACAACACTGCAATGGAATTGGAGTTGTTTTTTTTTTTCGGGAATGCCACTGCATTCCCTTCTCAGTCATAACGGCATTGTGTACAGTAGTTAGGAATAGTTAGGATATGTTTGGATTGTATTTGTAAAGATATGTATCCATCAGATACATGCGAGACGCATGCGTTTTTCTGCCAGTTGTGCCATGTTCGCCCGCGGATCATAATATGGTTTCATCTGTCATCATCTATCCATCTATCAATCTATCTGCAGTTTGTTTATTCATACATACATAGATACTCTAGTACGCACATTATTCTCCCAGAACTTTCTGTGTTAAGCAGCAATTGTGTACCACCTGTGTCAAGAATGCAAGGTGAGCCAGCTAGATTCGAAGCCCAGAAGGAGTCTGCTGGCTGCGAGCAAGAGTTTTTTTTCCATGGTTGGAATCTAGGTTGCTGGCCGGGGAAAAGCGATGCATTTCCAAGAAAATCAGCCTCTTTCCGAAACGACTCAAATGATTTCAAAGTAGGGGACTTCAAGCCCTGCAAGAAAATCAAACAAGGTGGGCCAGAGAACCCAAAAGCAAGACGGCACACAGCACGATTTTTTTGAAAATCTTGTGGTGTGTGCTCTGCACGAAATCGACGTAAGATCTTTACTGAAACATCGTGCGCGCTGATGGTATCAGGGGCCGCAATTCACCACAGCATGCTGTGTCAGCTACGTCTACATTCTTCTAGTCGCTATTTCTGCTAATGTAATTAACTCTATCCCATCTTTTTAGCCGCTATAATTCCTGCGTTCTCGTTTAGTTTGCTTCGCCGCAGAGGGAGCGAGGACGAAGCGTCGACGGACAGAACACCGTGCAAAATGAAAACTAAACGACGGAGGGAGCTGACCAAAAGAGCATGAAAACGAAGATATGAAGGTGATAGGTGGTGAATGATAGTGAAAAATGAGACATGATGAAAAATG